TATGGGAATCAATCAATAGCAGTAATAAATATGGTTTTTCTGTTGTTGGAGTCAAATGGACAATGTCAAAATTAGTTTGATATTGTGACATTTGAGTTTTAGGCATTTATTTACTGTTATATTTTGGTGGTATTAGGGTTTGAACTCAGAGCCTTGAACTTGGTAGGCAGGTGCTCTACCACTTGAGCCACATTTCCAATCCTTTTTGCCTTGGTTATTTTTCAGATAGTGTCTTATGTTTGTGACTGGGGTTAACCTGGACTGTGGATCCTCCTACTTACTCCTCCCTTGTAGCTGTGATCAAAGGCATACTCCAGCACACCCAGCTTGTTTGTTGAGATGGGGGTCTAGCTAACTTTTTGCGTGGGCTGGCCTCCAACAGTGATCCTCCTGATCTCTGCCTCTGTAGTAGCTGGGATTACAGGTGTGAGCCCCTGTGCCTAGTCTAGGCATATCTTTCATTGATTATAGAAAGGAGCCTCAAAATTTATGCTGAATGGAGGCTGTCTTCATTCCACCAAAATAGGGTTAATGAAGTCAGCACTTGACATGAAGTTTTATCATTAAACAGAACATCACATAGTCAAAGGGATTCCTAATGGCACCTCTCTATGGGACAGCAGGAAGGTTGGTGTGATGTGTATTTCCTTGGCACAGACATAGTAAATACTCAGTAAGAAGTTAGCTGCTGTTATCATTGTCCACTTTGAAGTGTTATCTCATTTTGTACCTTATTATAAAAAGCTTCTAACTCATATAGGGACCACTTTATTTTGGTCCCTTCATGCACACATACCATTATAAACTATAGGGCAAAAGAGAGACTCAGTAGACGAATGAGGTCTATCAACAGGATTTGGGAGCTCATTTTTATGATGAATAAATATATATACATATACATATATATATATACATACACATGTCCATATATATGTATGTATACATATATATTTTGCAAAGGGTAGACGGTCTCGAAACTTCCAAGTTTGTTGGCATAGAGTTTTCTTTATTTTTAAAAAAGAAATGCTTTCTGAACTGTATTGAAGTTAAAAAAAATAACAAAGTGACAAATGTAAGTATTTTGCAGTTATCGGAAAACAAAGAATGAGGTGTAATCAAATTTATGAAGGTTAGGTTTGCTTTTCCTGTACCCAGCTTTTCTTATGTGTTCAGAACCATTCCTTCTCATCACCTTTTTGTCTTCTGGCAAAGTTTTATCATTAACTCGCTATAAAATGCAATAAATGCAATAAAAGGAGTATTCATATTTCATAGTTGAGACTCAGTGAATCTGGACAACAGTATCGGAAAAGGAAAAATACCCAACAAAACATTAAGCCTTATATATTTTTGTTTATATATATCTAAGCATCATTTCTAATTCAGAAATATTTTTAAAGAATCCCTTTAAAATGCACACTTTAAACTATGCAATTACACAAAGCTTGACACTTGGGTACCCAAATATGGGGGCAGGGAGTACAGGTTGGAGGAAACTTACAAAGTTATCTTTTTAAAACCAAAAGAAACATATACATTCATTTCTAATTCACATAGCCTACTTGCCTTTATACTCTGCTGACAAACAATGATTTTAAAACATTATATATAAAATTAAATAACATGGAAAAATAAATATGCTTTATTATATAAACACATAGAAATCTGTACTGCTCAAAATATTCAGAAAATACTAGGTGTGGCTGCTTAAAACTGTGTTCAGAAAATATGGTAGTGATATTTACAGTCTTTATTTTGTTTCTATAGATAGATGGAGTGAGGTTATAAAACGCTCATGTCAAACAATTTCTGTTCCTCCCTACAGAGGCTGCAAACTTTAATATGAAAATGAGGTAGACACAAATTCCTAAGTTGGCCAGGCCGAAACAAAAGCAGTTTCTTTGTCTGCTCATAAATTCTCATTATTCAGGTTGACAAGCATTATTGTAAAACACCTAAAGCAAGACTCAGGGAACATTTTTAACATTTTTAGGTTTCTCATGAAACACCCAAGCAAGCAATTTCTCCTGAGGAGAACCATAGTCTCCAAGTTGATTCTCAAGCAGAGACCCAGGGCACAAAGAAATGCCACAGAGCCATCGTGGATCTATGGCGTCACCTAGCTGCCCTTGTTACTTTAATTATCTAGATGAATTAACTTGCTCTAGCACCCTTCCCATTCTTAACCTGCGTTCTGCTTTGGTTTGACAATACAGAGCTCTCTTTCCAACTTGCCCCCCTTGTCATGGGACAATTACTCCTGGGACTGGTAGCAAGAGGCCACTGAAAGGCAGAGAAGCTAAAGAACCTTGTTTCAAAAGCAAAACCAAGACAGAATCTAAGGACAGAGTTTTCAAAGGACAGAAAAGGTAGAATCTGGTTTCATAGTCATGATTCTTAAATCCACAGTGACGTGAGCCAGACCCATGGCTTATCTAAGACAGGTACTTGAACCTTAAGTTCATAAAAGCTTCATTTTAGAGACTGTGGAGGCCATATCAACAGTGATTTGGGATATCTATCCTAAATCCTGCTCTTCTGTAACAAATGTTGAAGTAGGCTATCTCTACCTTGACCTTGGAAAAGGCTTGATTTGACCTTGGAGAAGACTGCCTCGCTCAACACAGCAGTGGTTCCTTCTTGACAGGACAGAATCTATGTGTGGGAGTCCTTGGGGAGAGAAAGCAGCCTGCGGGAGAGTAATTGCTGGCCTGCCTTTTCTTATCAATCTAAGTTGCTTTCTATGGAAAGCAACATGTTAGCACCTCCGGATGTCCTTTTTACGACTGTTAATTTTACTGGCAGTGACAATGATAAAGCACCAGAGAAGTGACTCTATGGCTATGAACACAATTCACTGAGGTATGACTCAATTTAGAATGATTATGACATTGTATCAAGCATCCATGAAAATAAAAATACTATTAAAATCAAAAGCCTACAGTAAGAACCTGAGAGACTGCCCTCTCACACATATATTTAGGAAAAGTAATAGCTTACAAATATTACCTATTTAAACAAAATGCTTTTGATTTTTCTTGTTTAAAAATCACAATCTAAAAGCTCTGCAGAAGTGGCCTTGCTTTTAAGACTAAAGAGGCATTTAAATAGGTATTCCAATAGAGATTATTTTCCAAAGGAGGCATTAAACTCACAAAGACAGTAAAACTATTTTTAAAATCCACGAACTTGCTTCTAGGTCTACCAGAGCATTGCAACTTTCCTCTGCTCTCATGTTTCAGAAAAACGCATGCAGGTCCAAGAACTACTACTTTAAATAAACTTCATTATCTTCAGTTAAAATAACTAGCAGTCCCTATTTTAAAATGTAAGCATTCAAACTCTCAAAATATCTGTGGGGGTGGGTAGTGACCTTGTGCAAAAATATGAAGCTGTACTGAGAGAATACATTCAAGGAAGAGACGTGTGTGTGTGTGTGTGAGTGTGTGTGTGAGTGTGTGTGTACGCACACACATATCCTTAGCACTATAGTTTGAAATTCTTTGGAACTATATTTTTTCCATTTTCCTATAGAGATGTAAGGCATTGCAGTTTGGAGAAGAGAAATACAGATTTCACTTTTGCATCAAACCACAGGAATATGCAATGAGAAGCTCATGTATTTCCTTACTAAAAGTTAAGAGATTTTTTAGTCAAAACTGGTGACACACTACTTTTGAGAGACTTTTGAGATATAAATGACATTGGTGTTACTATCAGTTGAGTGAACAGGGTGAAAATATGGACTCAGGAAGGAAATTTCCATGGAAATTAGTATGAGTAGGTGAGGATGCCCTTGACATTCTAAGGTATCTCTGGTCTTCTTCAACATGTTTATTTGGAGAGGGTGCTTTTACTGTGACAAAATACTTCTAGGGGACTGCATATGTGACACAGCATAACATTTCATAGGCTCTTGAATAAAATCCTTGCAGCCAGCTAACTAGTAACAGTTGAGAGAATATTCTCCAATCTTCTAGGTTTCTACTTAATACAAAAGTCAGTAGTTATAAAACTACACTTGAGGCATGACCTCAGACATTGAAACCCTTAATCCTCAGAAGCATCAATGAATATCAACCACGTCACTTCGGTTCATCTGCTCTTCAGATGGTTGTAGGAATGGTTAAGACTTTTCCCCAGAACCACCCTGAATAAAAAGGGCTTCTGGAAATGACTTCATCTAATACTAAATTCAGCTTCAGTGCAATTCGTATTTTCATAGGAACATTTCCCCTATTTATGTGAAACAGCCCTAACGGCTCCAGTGTTCATGGCAAACTTAGCCAAGGCAATGTTTTGACACAGTTGATCCTTCTGTTTGCCAAGAGCTGCTCCAGAAGTTTGCATAGTATTTACAGTGGCAAACCTGGTTCACCATGTCAGTTGCTGGCGAAGCAGTTAGCACTAAGACCAGAGCAAAAAAAAAAATGTGCTCTCAACTGAGCTTCCTGCCTGGGTGAAAGACAGCATGTTCCAGACACTTTGAAAGGTACCAGGTCACTGTTTTGGCCATTCATATTTTCAACAGGACTTCAGTCTATTTCATGGGCACAGACTTTGTCACAACTGTGTTGAGCTGTACCCGAGCCATACAGAGGCAAATGACAGACACTGAAAAAACTGCTTTGACTTCTATAAGCAGGAATTTCCCTCTCTCCCTGCCCCATAGTGACAACGAACACAGCATAGAAAAGGAAAGACTGTCTGCTATTGAGTTGTCTCGAGACACCACTATTTTCTTCTAGGAAGAGGATGCTACTTCTTGGCACCAGGTCCTGTATGAGGTACACATATTCTGTAATGTCACTTGGGCAATGTCCTAAAATTAATGGCAACAGCCATCGATTCTACTGTGTGACAACACAGACAAAAACACTAGACTGTTGACAGAATAGCTTCTGGGATGTCCTCATGAGTATGAGCTGTCACAGAGGAATGGCCCAGAACACCTGGAATTAGACAGTTTGGGTAATAAATGTGAATACTTAGTGCCGTACCGAGCTCCAAGGGCCAGTACTCCACGCGGCATCTTGCGGGCAAGTGTGTGTGTTACACTGCTCACGATTTGGAGGCTTATCGAGAATTTCACAGCTCAAATCTGGGAACCGTTCACTGTTGGACCGTTGACAGACTACGAGTCTTGTTCTCACGCCTCCGCCACACAGCTTTGTACACTGCAACAAGGGCAAGGTAGGCTACAGTTATTTTCTCCAAATGGCCCATCACAAATTTTCTTTCCCCTTAAGAAAGTTTTTTTTGTTTTTTGTTTTTTTATCCAAACTCTGTTATAACACTGGACAAGGGAAGTCTGACAGAACCACGTGAAATTACCAACAGAGATGCAAACAATGGATCACAGCTCCCTTACTTGAATGGTAGGTATTACTTAATAAGGGCTTTGTCTACACCTACGTAAAGGGCTGTACTGGAGTTTGAACGCAGGATCTCAAGCTTGCTAGGCAGGCATTCTACTACTTGAGCCATGTGCTCAGCCCTTTTTTGCTTTTTTTTTAAAGTTATTTTTTAAGGTCTTGCTTTTTGCCCAGGGTTGGCTTGGGACCATAATCCTCCCTCTTATTCCTCTGGTGTAGCTGAGATGACAGGTATACACTACCATGCCCAGTTTGTTGATTGAGACATGGGTCTCACTAACTTTTTTCCAGACTGGCCTCCAACTGAGATCCTAGCATTCTTTGTCTCCTGAGTAACTGGGATTACAAGCTTGACCAAGGTGCTAGGGTAAGAACTTTATATGTATTATTTCATCAAATGGAGAGTTTGATTATTTTCCCTATATATAAAGCAGAGACTAAGGAGTTAATGAACCTGTTCAAGGTCAATCAATTAACAAGCAGCTAAGGTAAAATTCTTTAGGGTATGCAAAACCAAAATAATGAAAACAAGACCAAAAATAAGCAAAAACTACCCAGTATCAATTGCCTTTGCCAGCTTTATTTTCTGGCAACTTATTTTTTTTTTTTATGTTGCTGGGGATTGAACCCAGGAATTTGCACATAGTAGGCAAGCTCTTTACCACCAGGACACATCTCTAGTCCTTACTTTCCGGCAACTTCAAAGAAGATGTCACATTTGTCAATTCTCTGTCTCCAATCTCTGTAGGTTTTGATGACACTAAACTATTTCACTCTGTCTCTGAGTCTCAGGACAGCTACAACTTGCCCCTAGATGAATAAGTGTGGTGGGGATGCTGCTGAAGTCTGTCTCCTTGGCAAGATCCACTCTTCTGAGGCAGGCACAAGTTGTATTTCTTGGACAGTGCTGCTGAGCTCACATTGAGGATCAGGGACATTCAGTTTCCCTGCTGTGTCAAGGCCGGATCTCCCACAGCCTTTGGAAGGCCGAGTCCATGCTGACAGCAAGTGTCCCAGCAAATGCGTGTATTCTCCTGGCTTGGCTCCAATTACAGAAGCTTAATCATGGGTCCCCCAGGACAGACTATGCAAAGAGTTTTGGGAAAAGCCACAATACACCAGCCTCAAAGCCTCATTTCTCCTTCCTTCCCTTTAGCAAAGCTCTCCAGAATGACGCAACTGTCAATGAATGTCAATAAAAATCCCTGTTGAGGGTGCCTGTTACTACGAGGTTACGTGAATGAAACCACGAGACTCAGACATGGCTTCATTTAGCCAAGAGTGGGGAATGATGGGCCCATCGATCGCATTGCTCTTTTTCCTTCTTTTGGCACTGGGGTGTCCCAGGTATTAATTGTCACATTTTATTTGGTCAGTTTTACTATCAAGACAGAACAACTCAACGAGCTTTAAGTATGTGCTTTGTCTGTGGATTCAACAACAGACACACATATTCTTGGTTAAACACAAAACAATAAGCATCTGGGCCCTACTATTAATATAATACCCCTCAACACTCCATTTAATAATAGTACCGTTAATGCTAATAATTGTTTTAAATTATTCTTAATAACTAATAATTCTTAGTGCAAAAATTACCAAGTTCTAATAGCAGTTAATGGATGGAAGGTTACGTGCGAGGCATTTGAGAAGCACTATCTCCTAGCAGTCATAAATGCTATGAAGCCGGTGCTGTTATTGATCCTATTTACAGATCAGGATATGAAAAGTTTGGCAGAGTTACGCATTTGTCAAGGTCACAGAGGTGCTGAGAGCTGGAGATGGGAATCGGACCGGTTTTGTATGCTGCAACTACTGTGTTGCCCTTTGTCAGTTTCCAGCGGCAACTCTGGGAAGGTAACAGCGGAAGAATTTCATTCTTTGAGAATAAACAGCTAATGATTCACTTCTAAAATTGCAACAAGTCATCTTTAACAGGACTATCATACCCATGCACTCTGGCTTCATGAGGACCTTGGAAGATTAGGAGACATTATACCAAGGGAACAAGGGTGCATCCCAAACATCTCCCAAAAATGGCGAAGATGGCAAGACCTCCATGGGCTAATTTAACATGTGTTTCTATCACTTTATAGCAGCCGTTTTGCATCGTCAGAGGTCAATTAATAAATGATTTCAATCAGCATTTCTGGGCATTCTTTCCTAACTTTCTTCCCCTAGATATTCAAACTGTCTCTTAAAATAAGTGAATTTTTAAAATACTACAGGAAAAAGACAGGTCTCCTAGGTAATCCTGAATCTAGAAGCTACCACCAGAGCTAGTTCTTCCTTAAAATAAAATATGAACGATAACACAATTTGGTCAGTATCATTCCTCGATGTGCTTTTCAAAGGACAAACAGACAAATACCCTCTTACCTCTCCCCAGCTGCCATAAGCCCACTGAGGACAAGGGCCGGATTCACAGGCTCTTTGCTCGTCTGGTTTTATCCTCTCCACGCAGTCATTTGCAGTGTATCCATTTTCATCCTGACACACCACGACACGCCGCTGGGACCCACCAGCACAGGTACTGGAACACTGAGCACACCAGGAAACAAGTTAGTCTTCTATGAAACATCTCAGTTGACACAAATAGAAGCTGGCTGAAAGATCAGACACAGGTGGCAGAAACTGCTCTCAAGTCACCTACAGTGGAGAAGAAATATGGAAAGAGACAGGCACTTCCCGATTTGGGGCTGCTTAATGTGTGTAAGTATAAACAAGCCTGAAGGGCAGAGATGGCCTCTTCAGCCATGCTTCGGGCCCTCAGTAGCTGCTCAATAAAGACCTAACTCATGTTAGTGTCTTGAGACTTCCAAAGCAGCCCAACGTACTGTCCCCCTTTGTCCTCTGTACCTTTGGGAGAGACAGAAGTGTCAGTGGACACCAGGCTTGATTTGGAAATTTGTTTCAAACCTTTAAGAGTTTATTAAGAAGTAACATTTGACTTCTCCATCAACACAGAGGTCAAGTTACAAGCTGACTGAATTGCCAGTTGTTGAACTTAAGCTTGCATAGGAACTCATTCAATTACTCCAGGAAAACACAGGTAATGCCTGTGGAAATAACATTATTTCCTAGTAGATAAATACTCCTAACCCTCCCTTTACAAGAGCTTCTGTTTCAATGGCTAATGGGAGCAAGATAGGTTTTGCTTATTCATTTTTCACTTTCCCAAATGAACTTAGTTGAATTCCATCTTGACAATCCCCTGCTCAGTTGCAGGTCTGCCTCACCCTCTTCCCATGGCTGTTCCTGTGCTGTTTGCATTCCAGTTCCTTTCCCAGGCATGCAGGCACGCTTCTCATAGCTCTCTTATGTGTCAACACCTGGAGTGTTTCTCTTTCCACAATTTCCTTATCTGTTGAACCCAGTGTGTTTGCTAGCGCCCTTCACGCTGACCCTTGTAAAATCGGTTTGCCTGTAAAGTAACCATCTCATCCTTTAAGGGATGCAATTCTCACCAATTATCAAGCTGCAAACTGCATTTGCAAGCGTGTTTTGTTTCTAGTTGCAGGTTCTGGAGTTTTTTGATTTCTGCTTTTGAGGCAGAGTCTTGCTATGCCTCAAGTCTTGCTGGTCTTGAACTCACAATCCTTCTGCCTGAGATTCCTGAATGCTAGAATTACATCAGGCCAATTTGCAGGTTCTGAAAGTTGATTTGTATTTCCTGTTTAATCCTGGCTGAAACCAGTGTGATTAAAAAACACACTCAGAACTTGCTTCTTGCTGGTCAGTTTCTTCTATATCAAGATGTGAAGATATTTTGTTGCCAATGTCACTGTCAGTTTCTGTGTTGGGAAACCCTGCCTACACTGATCAAATTATAAGTGATTTTAAAATGTAACCAACCTAACCAGTACCTACACTTTCATTTTATAGTGGGTTAACATTTTACATCATAGAGCAGGTTTATAGATCTATGAGTCTGTCTGAGAAGACATTTGCATATGCTTTGATTTACAAAAATTCTACCCTCTTCTGTAAGAGTTCCAATATATTTACTCTAAATCCGAAAATACTTGTTTTTCTATTTTCAAGCAACTTAATATATAAAAAACACAGAGAACTATAGTTTTAATTAGCTTTGGTTGGTGACCAGAATTTAAAATGCTATGAAGGGTCATCTATGTTATAAATAGATTTGTAATATATATTTTGGTCCTTGAGTTTTTCCTTGACAATGTAATCTTGTATCATTTATTTATGATGTTATAAAGAAATGATTGCCCCAATAAAATGTAAGCTCTGTGAGGAAGGGTGATATTATAACTTATGTCTCTTACAGTTGTCATATACGATGCAAAGATGCAAATACAAATTCACTCTCCTGGGGGTCACACATGACCTCAGAGGGCAGGGAGAAGAAAAAAAATCACACTGCCAGCTTAAGCCTACCTTTAAAAAAAACCTATACACAGAAAACAGGCACCACAAGGAAAATAGTGATATTGCCTGTTGTTGTGCAATGCTTACCTATTCTTCCCTAATTATAGACTCTGTCTAAGGGTAGAATCATTCAACCTTAAAAAAACACATCTTCCCCAAATGGAGAATAAGAATAACCTTATATAAGAATAAATAAGAATAGCATTAAAATGTAAAAAAAATAAAAAACCCAAACCTTCCAGTGCTATAATTAGAATACACAGGTGCATTTGAATTTTTTCAGCCAGGAAAAAACTATGAGACACTCAGTAATTACTACTCATGATCACCTTTTAATTTCTTAGCACTGAAACCTTTTCTAACTCAGTAACAGGGAGTCTTAAAGAAGGAATGAAGTGAGGGATGGGATGGGAAAGGCGGTGGGCATTACAGCTGTCTGCAGACAGTCCACACTTGCGTGCTGTGCTAGCCATGCTAATTAGTACACTCAGGCAGTCCATCTAATTCACTGGGAACTAGATGGATTCCTTCTAATTCTTTTTAGCTCAGAAATAATTAAATACAATTAGCAGTACTAGAAGGAAGCTAATAGCAAACAATAAAAAAAGACCTCTGAGTGGTTAGCATACCCTCTTTAACTAGACACCTACCAAGGGTCTCTTGCTACTCTGTCACTCTTGAATGCCTCTGTGTCAATATTCCCCAATATATTACTTGAAAATTATTTAGCAAAATAATCTAAAACATCCAAGTCAAGTGCACATTTTTCTTTGACATTAAATATTTTCTAGTCCTTCCTAATTTGAAGAACAATGATAATCGTAATGAAGATAACAATCCACGTTTGCTACGTTCTCACTCTGGGACAGGTAGGGTACAAAGCACTTTATTTGTGAAAACTCATTTCATTCTTATGACCATGGAAAGCAGGAATTAATGTTCCCCTCATTTGGCAGATGAGGAAACTGAGCCTCAAGGAGGAGAAGGGACCTGGCTCTGCCTTCAAAATTTGAAAGCACAAGTCTTTGGATTAAACAGAGACACCTTCCCTCTGAGCCTGTGCTGATAGCCATTAGACGATGGCACCCTCCTGTAAGCATTTCCCCCAACCCAGGACAATGAGTTAGTAGGACTAATTAGACAGCCACTATGTCCTCATCAGGAAAACAGCAGGAAGAAAAGCTTTGCATTAAGAACTCCCTTTCAGAAAAGTCTCCCTGCCCTCTGCCCTCCAGGTATGACCTGCCTGTCCCTCCAGGTTCAATCATGATGGCTTTCACAATATCTTCCAAGAGGCCACCTGATCGTATCATCCAGAAGTGACACCCCCTCCTCCACCCTATGGAGGCAACTTATAGGTGCACAAGGCGATATCATCGTAGGCCATCTTTCCTGGAACTGTAATTAACCCATTGTATCCACCTGAAGTGACTGCAAATGCCTCTCAACACCTTGTGAAGAAAAAAATGTTCCAGGGATGATTCTAGAACACTGTCCCCAAACTCCACCTCAAGTGAAAGACAAGCAAGAAAACCAAACAAAGGCTTCAGTGGATACTCACTGCTCCCCAGGGACCTGTTCTCCACTGGTTTCCACCAAGCACATGGGTCCGGCTAGGGTTGACGCTCCTAGGGCGATAGTCTGTGTTTTGGAAGGGGTGCTGAGCTAAGCCACTGTCTGGAGTCCACTGAGGGCACGGTGTCGTGGAACAGTCCTGGTCAGTTTCTGGGATATAATCCTGGTCGCACTCGCTCTGATTGATCACGTGGTCACTGTAGTTGACACACACCACTTGCCGGGTTGCCTTACCTTGCCCACAGGTCACAGAGCACTACATTAAATGTTGAGAAAAAAAAGCATTAGACATTTTGCAGTTGGGTACAAGTTCTTGAACATGTATCTTTGTAGATGCTCTAATACTTTCCCAATGGCTCAGGCCAAATCTCTTAGAATCATCCTTGACTATTCCCTTTTTTTCCCATGCAATATCTACTTCATCAAGACTTTTATCAGGTCAATTTAGTATTCAAAACACACCCCAAATCCAGTCACTTCTCACAATTGCACCACTGCCTCCCTTGTTCACCAAAGATGTCATCTTCCCTTGCCAGGATTAATGTGATGGGCTTTCAGCTGGGCTCTGGCTTACAACCTTGTCACTCCCCACTCAAAACTGTTGTCTACATGTCATAAAACATGACTATTTAAAACAAAAGTCAAACCCTGTGTCCCTCCAGTGACTTCTCAATGCATTAGAATGATAGCTAAAATCCTTATGCTGACCTGATAAGCCCCTTATGAAGGAGTTGTCACCTACCTCCTTGACTCATTTTCTGTCATTCTTCATGGACTGCACTTCAGCTACACTAGCCTTAAGGATGGTTCCTGAACATGCCAAGAATATGCCCATTTCAGGGCCATACTATCTGCTGTACTGTTTACTGCACCACACAGATACCCTGTGGCTTATTCCCTCGTCTTACTTAGGTCCTACTCATGTCAGGCTTTTCTTTTGACTACCCTACTGAAAGCATGGCATATTCTCTATGCCATTCCTCTGCCTTACTTCTTTCTAGTACTTATCAGTACCTGTTGCTATATCATGTATTTCTTTATTTGTTCATTGACTGGATCCTCCTTTGTAATAACTTCCATGAAGGCAGGGATTTTATTACTTATTCATTATTCCATTATTCACTGCTTTCTCTAGTAAGCTTTAACAAATATCTGGTGAGTAGACAGATGGAGCTGGTAGGAAGATTACTGATGTATGCATGGACTGAAGGATAAGTAGCATGAGAGTGGGATTATCTACCAAATATTTCTTGAGTACCTAAGCATTTAATATATATCATCTTAAATAATTCTCACTAAGTCTTATAAAATAGGTCTTCTTCTTGATCTTCTTTTAAGTTCACAGAAAAATGGGCTCAAAGACTTTCCTCAGATTGCTGAAGATCATGGAAGTAATAAATGACAACATCTGGTTTTTACACTGCCCTCAAGTTTCATATACATATGGATACTTATTGAGATATTAATCTTAAATTCATTATGTCCCCTTTCACCTGTCCTGGACTCTGGGAGCTTTGTAGGGCAAAAGCAGAAGATGCCTGAAGATGAACGTTCATCTACTTTCATAAAAACCAACAGGCAGTACTTGGTATGCACAGGAGACTGGGTTTATGACACTGAAAGTGGATTCCCATCTTACACTCTCCACAGGGAACCGTGAGCCACTTGGCTTTAGGGAACAACAGGATGCAGGAGAGACCCAGACTCTAAGTAAGAGAACCTAACTGTACTCTTCTCTCTCCTGCCACTTTTGGGCATTACAAATCTTCTTTATATGGGAGGACTCAATGAAGATTGGGATTTCTAGTCAGCCCAGCAGGACAGGTATTCAAGTAGAATGCAAATCCATCTACACATTTTTAAAAATGTGTACTTCCCATACATTGGACTAAAATTTCTTGCACACTTGGCCAGATTAAATTATTCTGTGGAGCAGAATAATTTAAATCATAAACTATGTTCAATTCTGAAATACTACATATTTACATTTGGGATGCCCCCAATCCCACCCAAAGGATTCACTTGCTTACAGAGCTCCAGTCCAAAGCCTTCCACCGCCCACAGGGTGTCACAGAACATTCTTCTTTTGCCACTGGTCTAGGCAGCATGGCACAGGCGCTCTCATCAGCCACAGAGCCATCCTCATCCCGACAGCTGACATATCTCATCCGGGTACCTTTTCCACAAGTAGCAGAGCACTGGGAGTTGGAGTAAAATAATGCAGACATGTAACTTGAAGTGGTTTTTCACTCATTTCTTAGCCCACTTTCTACAGTCATGTCAAGGACACAAGCCTTCCCTCCTTCCCTCTACACTTCTCCCAGTCTGTTTCTTACTGGAGTCCAAGACCCAAATCGCCACTGGGTTGCACTCCTTGCTTCTGGGGCCAATGGAGGAGGGTGACAAGATGGTAGTTCACAGTCCTAGATGTGAGAGGGGAAAAAAGCTAGTTACTTTCATGTCAACACACATATCAGTGGTCATGGTGCACAAGAATGTATACCATGTTAAGAATTCAAGGACTTGCCGGGTGCTGGTGCCTCACACCTGTTATCCTAGCTACTCACGAGGCAGAGATCAGGAGGATTGTGGTTCAAAGCTAGCCAGGGCAAAAAAGTTTGCGAGACCCTATCTCAAAAAACTCTTAACAAAAATAGGGCTGGTGAAGTGGCTCAAGGTGAAGTGGCTCAAGCCCCAGTATGCCAAAAAAAAAAATAATAATAATAATAAGAATTCAATGACCTCATGTTTCTATGTGTTTCCACGAGTCACATGACTTCCCTCAGCCCCAATTTCTTAACTGCAAAATGGGATATACTGAGTCACTTTGTGGGTGCCTTAATACAGGGGAGAGTCTGCATAATAACTTTTTTAAACCATATTTATTCACCTGTTCATATGAAAAGAAAAAAACTATTGTGAAGTGGTATGTATATCTGGAAAGTGAATAACAGTTTTTAGAATTATTAACCATTAATGCTTTAACAGTTCTGAAGGCTAAATTCTGTTCTCACATTTCAGTTAGTTTCCTAATCAGAATTTGCTAATCATGAACTTGTTTTCCCAGTTTAACTAAAGATAACACCTGAAGCCCTTACGGTCAAATCTAGACATAAATGGTATCTTCAATAGGCCAATGTCTGGGATTCATATTATGCCCTTCAATCACTCACAGTCCTACAATGAATTTTCTGTGTGTAAAAAAATTTTCAGATTTACAGATACGAACGCAGAAGCACACACCTGCTCACAATCATCCCCACACCAGTGGTTGCCAACTATTCCTTGATTTAATGAGTATCCATCAAATGCCTAAGAGTTGGCAAGTACAGTGCACAAGTGCTGGGGCTCAGTACTGAATGTGGTATTCCCAAGGCTACCTTGCCTAAAACCCAAACCATGGAATGTGAGGGTCTGTTAACTTGGCTTCAGATCTTGTCTATTCCTTTGCCTATGATCTGAAGAAAGCCACTTGGGACTTCCCACAAGTGAAGAAATTGTTCAGCTGCTGTAGTAAGTAAGGGAGCCTACAGTCACATGAATATTGTAAAATAACTTAGAAATTATGTTTGAATTTCTAAAGGAGTTGCTAAGTCTCCACTTGGCATTTGTTTTACACATCATGGCTAACATTTCCTAGGCACTTGTGAAATGTGCCTGTCACTTGGAACATTTCAATAAAATAGCAAAACTGAAAATGACACAGACCACCAATCATTGTTTGGTTAATTTATCAGTGACACCAACATGAACAACCAGCCCTATTTTTGTTTACTTTTTTGAGATTCTTCATCCATCAAGATGTAGAATCAGACTCAGATGGTCAGCATGGAGGCTGTCTATAGATTGCATAAGTCCTTGCTCAGAGAACGAGTTCTAGGCAGAGTCTGGGTTCAAATACCATCTTTAGCAAAGTTGATACCCAAACCCAAATCTTCTCTTGACATAAACTAAACCAAAATTAAAGCCCACAAAAAGAGTGTGTTAGTGAAAGAGCATACTCTCTTGAGGAAAAAAGGTGTATGTGTGTGTGTGTTTATAGATATTTGCACATAGACACCCAAAAATTACATATTGATTTGTGTACGTTTAGCTATTATAACTTTTACTGAGTTAAAGGTTTTGTACCAAACAATTTACAAATAATAACAAAACATACAATTATTTTAAATTCCATATAGCCAATTGATTCTCACAAAATACTTTTGTTGATTTTTGCTGAAGTTTGTACCTACTGCCAAACTATGACTGTAATTGCCAAACGTCAAGTGGTTCAAGTGTGAATATTACCTGATATTTTGTTCACATTGACAAGGAAAGCAGCAGTGAAATGATAATGTTTGTCACAGCCCGGGTCACTGACCACAGGCTTCAAAGTTCTTTTTGAGGTATCAGATAATAATATTCAAATACTAAAAGAACATTTCCTGATTTTTTTGGATACTATTCACAATGTCATAACTACAAATACAGGATACTTCTAAGTCTAATCTGTATTGTTAATATGTTCTCCACCACTTTATCAACGTAAACAATTGACAAAGCAAAGTGAACTCTTTATATTGCACTTGGTGACTTCTGCAGTATAAAAACTCTCACCATGGCCAACGTCAAGATATGAACTTGATGTCAATCAACACACAGTTGAGAGGAGAGGCTCAATTGCACATCATTATTTAATCCACCACACAGGTGAGTACAGATGCAACCTGAGAGCACATGTAATAGCAATACGTAGTAAAACAACTTGGAAGTGATATGTTTTGCAGCTTTGTTTTTTAAAAATATTATCTACTTAACTATAGATTTGTGTTTTCCATTTTAATAATGGCTACATTTAACCATCAGCTTGTGAAGTACCTGTAAAATTATGAGTTGGCTGCTATGAACTAGTCCAAGCTAGCTTCAACATACTTTCTGAACTTAGGACAATTAGTTACTGAATTCTACAAAAAAAATCATTTAAAAATCTGAGTTCAAGAAAATGAGACCAACCAACATTTGCCATTCATGAAGAACCAAAATCAAACCTATTTATACTTCAAATAACGAGAGAACAAAATCAGTCAAACAAAATATTGATTCTAAATGTAACGAGAAAATCGAGATAAGTTAATCACCTTAAACGATTTTCAGTGAGAAGAGATGGGTTTTAGCTAAATCACTGGGAAATTTTGGTACCTTAGTGCTCAAAGCCAAGAACCAGGTTGGATGCAGAAGACTCACCTGGGTATCAGTCGGTTTAGTGGCTGCATTACAGTCATTATCATCCACCACCGACATGTAAGTCCCAATGATGCACTTGACAGCTCTCAGCTGGTATCCTTGTCCACAAGTGACACTGCACTGGAGGAAGGAAATAAGACAAAAAGTTCAGCAAATCTCCTCTTTCCCTTATTTGCCCATAACATTGTACAAGAAGAAAATATATTTTATCACAATGGCCCATAGGGCTGACACCCAGAGATTAGGTAAAAGTGAGCAATCCTATTCTTATGAATTATTCTGATCAATCATTATGATGACACTTGGAATTATTTTTGCCTCCTATTGGGAATATATTTGTAGTGGTTCAATTCCTTGATTGTGAACTCCAGGGAGGAAGGGAGCACATCTCTGCCATTTTTACATTTCTCACACATTACCTAGCAGAGTGCTGTCGCTAAAACAGGTACTTAGTAAAAAGTTCTGTGATTTTATTTGACTTCTGAAAAACAAATCATTCTCAGGAAATAGTTGGAGTACGTCTCAATATTTTTGATAGGATGCTCTTTGCAGTATTATTTATAAAAAGAGAATAAAATATTGGAAACCACCTACATATGCAGAAGCCAAAAGTTAGTTAAATGTAGCACGCATGTAGATAACAAAAGAAACAATGCAGCCACCAGAAGGCACACTGATGGATTTTTAAAAGCAGTTAAGTGTGTGTGTGAGGGGGGGATTGCCACAGAAACAGCAGAGTAAGAAGCAAGAAATAGTTTACCACTGAGGCAAACAGAAACATGGCAAAAACTGGTAGAATCAATTTTGTTTTTGGAACTCTGGAATCAAATAAAAACACTTACAGCAACTAGGTGAGTACTGAGTGGAGAAAGATGCTGTCGAATAGTGGAAAGAAAGAGTCAAGTCATTTTTGGTTTCCCACCTACCATATTACACATTCCCCTTTATGCACATGGAACATTTTCCAAGATAGATCATGTGTTAGGTCACACAACAACTCTCAACACATCTTAAAAGAAGGTATTACAAATATCTTCCCTAATGGAATGAGGCTGGGAGCAGAACTGGAGAATTCACAATTGTGTGGAAACTAATGTATTCTTAAACAAGCAAGAGGTTAAAGATGAAACCACAATTGATGCTAGAAAATACTTTGAGATGAATGAAATGAAAAGAAAATTGATGAGATGCAGTGAAATTTATAGCTGCAAATGACTATATAAATAAAGAATCCCAAATCAATAACTTTATATCTCAAGGAACTGAGAAAGGCAAACTAAACCTGGAATCAGGACAAGAAAGGAAATAATAAAGATTGTAGTGGAGATCAATGAAATACAGAATAGAAAAACAACAGAGAGGGATGGGGATATAGCTCAGTGGTAGAGCATGTGTTTAGCACACACAAGGCCTGCTTTCAATCCTCAACATCAAAAAATAATAAAAGAAGAACTAAAAAATATGAGCAAATCAAAAAGGTGTCAAGAAATTTGTTGAATACTCTGGAAAAAAATTTGGAGGCTACTTAAAACACTAAACATTGATCTACCATTTGATCCAGCAATACCACTCTTGGGGATATACCCAAAAGACTGTGACACAGGTTACTCCAGAGGCACCTGCACACCCATGTTTATTGCGGCACTATTCACAATAGCCAAGTTATGGAAACAGCCAAGATGCCCCAGCACTGACGAATGGATTAAGAAAATGTGGTATCTATACACAATGGAATTTTATGCAGCCATGAAGAAGAATGAAATGTTATCATTTGCTGGTAAATGGATGGAATTGGAGAACATCATTCTGAGTGAGGTTAGCCTGGCCCAAAAGACCAAAAATCATATGTTCTCCCTCATATGTGGACATTAGATCAAGGGCAAACACAACATGGGGATTGGACTTTGAGCACATGGTAAAAGCGAGAGCACACAACGGAGGGGTGAGGATAGGTAAGACACCTAAAAAATTAGCTAGCATTTGTTGCCCTTAACGCAGAGAAACTAAAGCAGATACCTTAAAAGCAACTGAGGCCAATAGGAAAAGGGGACCAGGAACTAGAGAAAAGGTTAGATCAAAAAGAATTAACCTAGAAGGCAAAACACACATACAGGAAATTAATGTGAGTCAACTCCCTGTATAGCTATCCTTATCTCAACCAGGAACACTTGTTCCTTCCTATTATTGCTTATACTCTCTCTACAACAAAATTAGAAATAAGGGCAAAATAGTTTCTGCTGGGTATTGAGGGGGTGGGGGAGAGGGAGGGAGTGGAGTGGGTGGTAAGGGAGGGGGTGGGGGCAGGGGGGAGAAATGACCCAAGCCTTATGTGCACATATGAATAATAAAACAATAGAAAATAAATAAAATAAAAATCCATTTTGTTTCTAGGTGATTCATAATAAAGTTCTAACAACTATTGGTAACACACACACACACACACACACACACACACACACACACACAAAAAGAAATTGGTTGAATCAGTAATCGAAGACCCCCTAACAAAGAAAATTCCAGAGCATTCTACCAAATATTTAAAGAAATACTGACACTAATTCTTCTCAAAAGTTTTTGAAATATTAAAGAGTAGGAATCACCTAACACATTCCATGGTGTCAACATTATTTTAATATCAAAACCTAAAGAAAAATAAAACATCAAATCATATCTCTTACAAATTGAGATACAAAAACTTTCAATGAAATACAGCAAACCAAACCCAAGAGCTCACTGAGAGAGTTATACACCATTGGTCAAGTGGAATTTAGCCCAGGAATGTAAGGATAACTCAATATGAAAAAAGCAACCAAAGAGCATACTATGTGCCCATAGTATGTTATGTTTTGTTATGCAAAACATAACAGATGTGATCATCATCTCAACTGATGAAGAAAAGCATGTGACAGAGTTGAAAACCTTTTCATGCAACCATACTCAGAAAACTTCAAGTAGGATACTTCTTCAACATGATAAAAATGTACCCACAAAAACCTGCAGTTAACATATTCAACAGTACAAGACTGGAAGATTTCCCCCACAATCAAGAATATGACAAGGATATCTGCTCTCACCTCTGCTATTCTATATCACACTGGAAGTTCTAGTGAGTGAATTCAAGCCTGGAAAAGAAACAAGGTATATCTTTTTTTTTTTTTTTTTTTGGTGGCCCTGGGATTTGAACTTAGGGCCTCACACTTGCTAGGTAGGTCTCTTACCTCCTGAGCCACTCTACCAGCTCATGGAAAAGAAATAAAGGGCTTGCAAATTACAAAGGGAAAAGTCAATCTATTTCTATTTGCAAGTGTCTATATATATATATATAAAATATATGTGTATATATGTTTATGAATATATATATGTATATATGAATCCCAAAGAATCCATGGAAAAATTACTACTGCTAATAAACAAATTCAGCAGAGTTACTGGACATCAGAAAAAACAGTTATGTTTCTATACACCAGCAATGAACAATTCAAAAATGAATTTAACAATTGTATTTACAATAATATCCCAAAGAACAAAATACCTTGGAAAAAAACCAACCAAGGACATAAATGTTTTCTACACTGAAAAACTGTGAAACATAGCTGAAATAAGTTAAAAAGACATAAGTAAATTGAATGACATTTCACGCTCACAGACTGGAAGATTTGGTACTGCCAAAGTGGCAATATTCCCAAAACTGATCCACAGAGTCCATGCAGTTCCAATGAATTGGAATTAACTTTTAAAAGGTGATGAAGTATTTAAAGAAATAGAAAAGCAGATCCTTAAATTCATAACAAATGGCCGGAGATCCTAAATGGCCAAAACAATAATGAAAAAAGAAGAATAAAGTTGGAGAATTCATGCTTTATGGTTTCAAAATTAATGTCAGTGATCAAAACAGTGTGGTACTGGCAAAGGGGCAGACATACAAACAATGGAGTGCAATTCAGAGTCCAGAATAAACATATACATCTATGGGCAAGTGATTTTTGACAGGAGTGTCATATTACTTGATGGAGAAAGAACAATCGCTTCAACAAATGGCTAGATTTATATGCAAAAGCATGAAGTTGGATCCCTGCTTAGCTTTCTTCCTTTCGGAAAAGCACATTTAAAAACATTTCTCCTTAAAAAAAGTGTTAGAGAATGAAAAATATTGAAACAACCCATCTATATATGAATATAATATAATGCACTGTACAGGGAGCTATTGAATGTTAGGGGTGCATGGTGACACAGGATGAGTGAGTAACTGAGGGGAGGGGCTGATTGGATAAAAGCACAACATATACAACCCTGAGTACCAAGGCGAAACCCCCTTGGATTATCAATATACACTTAATTTTAAAAATAAAGAGCAAGGAGGGAAAAATAAACCTTTTTGGGGGGAGGTGTGTACCAGTGTGTGTGTGGGGGGGTGGAAACAAGGAAAGGGGGAATGGGGGTGGATGTGTTTTGTATCCATATATGAAAATAGAAGCATGAGACCTATTGGAATTGTTCTAAGAGGAGGGGAGGGGAGAAGAGGGAGAACGGACAGGGTAAATCCAGCTGAGATATATTGTAAGCACATATGTAAGTATTACAATGTATCCTCCTGTACAACTATTATATGCTAATACAATCATAAAGACACAAATAGGACAAAAAATAAAAACATTTCTTTTACGAGTATTTATGACTCTATAGTAATACTTCAAAAAGCTGCTTCCCTGAATTGCACGATAGTCAAAGGAAAAGTGCATCCCTGGCTATCAGATGGGCTAGGACTGGCCTAGTGTTGACATGGATTAAAAAAAATTAAGCCTGTCAGTTTTGTTACATGTTGTATTCATTCAAATCTTGACAGTGACCTTGAGGATGCTCTCTACTCTCTTATTGTCCCTTACATGTTATACAGATGTAGACAAAAGGAAAGGAGGCACAGTTAAGAAGTATGCTTGTTCACACAGGATTGGCCATCGTACTGGGGACGCTATGATGGGGGAGATGTTGAGAAGAGTGTCAACATGGAGGGTAGAACCTGCAAGGGTGTAGTGGTACAGCTGCTCCCACTTAATGCATGCTAGTTTGGAAATGAAGACAGAGGGTAAAGGACAGAAGTGGCTGTGACTGGTCAGGGTGGAAGGAGGGTCATTCTTCAAGAGATTACATAAGTGACAGCAGACAGCTGCTCAACTTCTCCCGGGAACTTGAAGTGCTGCTTAAACAACATGCAGAACCCTCTCGCTTCTATATTAAGAAAGACTCAATTCCAAGAGCAAATGCAAGTCTGAGGGAGACACTCATTCTCTCCTTTAAGAATGGTTCAAGTTAAAGTCGTGGAACCTATACACCAGGGACTCAGAAAAGATTCCTTCCGGGCCCTATGGTTCTGCACCCTTTGATCTTAGTAATTGTGGTTAACTCTTCTATTTGAAGAGTCTAACTTATTTATGGGAGGTGAGCTTTGGATTTGTGACATCAGGAGTCAAAATATCCCTTCTAAGTCCCAGTGCAGACTCTTCTGCCAAAGGCTCTGAGGCAGGAGCCCATTCTGTCGCAGATCTCCAGAGGCACACAGGAGATAACTTCAGCCAGACCCCACGTCTGTCGTGAATTGCTTTAAATACTCAAGTACAGTTCAAAACATGGGGATGAAGCACACGTGTGTCTGCGGGTGTTAGGATCATTCCAGGAGAACAGTGGGCAGGCTGCAGAGTGCCATGTGCTTGTTCCAGCACCACCAAGGTACAGTGCATGCCACACAGCCTGGCCTGGTGGAAAAAGCCCGCCCTGGAATGCCCCTCTGCGAGCCTTCTCCAGATAAGGAGGAAAGAATGCAGTTAAGAATCTTATCGGTCCAAATACCTGTCCCCAGGGACCCGCCTGCCAGGACGCACATTCCGGTTGCTGACAAGTCTGCGTGGAGGCTGGCTTGGCCTCAGGGTCACACATTCTATCGTTTAATCGATCTTCGCCAAATTGACACCAGACCTGGCGGTGCATATGCCCTTTTCCGCAGGTGACCAGGCACTGGAATGAAAAGCAGAGCCAGTCAGGGTCCTCTCTGATCAACGTGATGTGGTCCGTGGGGGAGTTATTCATTGTATAGGAGAAACAGGTGTGTGGGCTTTTCCCAGGCCCACCCCCCTCTTTCCATCCTGTGTAAATACATCAAGACTCCCTTTCTCTTTCTGTCTCTTCTTTCTTTCTCTCCCTCTCCTCCTATTCTCTCCCTCTACTTCTCTCTGTACTTATAACCTCTGAGCCAGTTTCAAACGCAGAATAAACTCCATAGCACATCACACTCTAAAGTATTGAAAACGAATGTCATGTTTTTCTATCAAGTGTGAGGAATTATGAGACCCATCAAAATAGACTTCAATTCCTACACAACCAAGTCATAAATCTCTCTGACCCTCAGTTTTCTCATCTGTAAAATGGGGATAACAAAAGTACTTACTGCAAAGAGTTGTGAAAACTAAATGAAAAATAATCTAAGTGCTTAGCACAATTTTCATTGAAAAAACATTAAATATAATCTCCATTATTACTCCTGTTCATTTTAGAAAATTAAAAAAATAGAGAAAGAATATAAAAGTATTATAATGATACAAAATCTCATTACTAGAGGGTTAGCATTACCAACACTGTGTTCTCTTTCTGAACGTCATACCTAAGGAATTATGGGCCATACTGAACTTATAGTTTGATCTATCTTCCCCACCTCCATTTTATCAAGTATTACTACCAATATTTGTTACTTAATTTGAAATTATTGTTTAGCTAGTATTAGGTATCTAAGTAAAATTTAAAACAACTGCCTTCTTTCATCTTTTTTTTTAAATCAAGTATTTAGAGTTTAACATAAAACTAATGTGTCCAGGAATCAGATTCTGGTAATAGTTGGTATTCTACTTGACCATCACTCAGCACATTAGCAGTACTTGTGGCTATAGTGACTTTGTTTCTCCACACTGCTGACTTGGCACCCTGTGAAGGAAGGTGGAGCGAGTCACCCTCTTGGGGAGAAGACAGCACTCACGGGCTGTGTTAGTGCTGGGATCATAGTGAGCACGAATACTGCTCAGAAAAGCAATCGAGGGGCTGCTTGTGCTTCATAAAGCACGAGGGGAGAAAGACATAAATGTGGAATACTCCATATCTCACCCTTTCTACTCAGCCCAGATGTCCTCGAGCAACTGGATGTGTAAGTCAAGGGGGTCATTTACTGGGATCCAATTCACTCATTTCAAAGATAAGGAAGCCAGGCACCAGTGGCTCATGCCTGTAATCCTAGCAACTCAGGAGGCAGAGATCAGGAGGATTGTGGGTTTGAAGGCAGCCTGGGCAAATTGTTTGCAGCACCCTATCTCAAAAAAGCCCATCACAAAAATGGGCTGGTGGAGTGGCTCAAGGTGAAGGCCCTGAGTTCAAACCCCAGTACCTCACACAGACACACAAAAAAAGACAAGGAAGTAGGGAGGTTTATGTTGGACTCAGGTCTAAGCTAGTACCTCCTTATGACTAATAAAGTCCTAATTTCCATTCAGTAACCTACCTAGGACTGTAAGAGGAGGAAAAGTGAGGAACTGTGACTTCCAAGTCACCAACAGAAGCTACTGGAGTCAGTAATCCAGTCAAGCCCACGGTGACTTTTGAGGTCATGAGGGGACTAGTGAAACCTAGTACTACCATCACAGGCAGGTAGAGAATGGAAGCTGTTGCTTTCTCAAGAGAGGAGGAGAAAGGACAGGGAAGACCCAGAATTAGGGTGTCTGAGACGGTCCAGGGAACAACAGCCCTCCCCTCTTACCTCTGACCAATCGCCCATTTTCCACTGCGGACAAGGGAACTCATTGCACCTCTGCACAGTGACTTTCTCTTGATGGGTGCACTTGCTGTCATCCAGGACATCATTTCGAGTGTTGACACAAATAGCCCTTCTTCTCTGGCTTCCACCATCACAGCTTTTAGAACACTAGAAGGACAAAACATTAAATAAAACCTCTGCTGAGTTTCTTATAAAACATGCCCAAGGTCCTGGCTGGGCTGTTTCTTCTGACCCTTAAAAAGAGAACAAACAACCAACTCTAGCCAACTGTCCTTTATTTTGGGGAGATCGTCTCATGCTATTGATTTACCAAGTTTATACTGAAGTCAATATTAGCTCATTGTCATAGGAAGATGAAACTGGAAAGGGCATGTGAAGTATAGGAAAATGATCGGTTGTTTGGTTTTACCACTCACTGTTTTCTACATGCCATGCCTGTGTCAGACATAATAAATCAGTCACAGGATTTTTTCCCACAGAGCTTGAAAGAGAGTCAGGCATTGGTTTGCTTTTCCATAAGTCTAAATGGGGTTTCTTAATACAATCCTAGAAGCCACTATCAACTCATCAGACTTAGTAATCAAGAAGACTCTCTTGTAATAAGCACCAACTTACATCAGTCCAAGCTGAATAGCGCCAACCACCTGTGTTACACTCTCCTGAGCATTTTTCCTGGTTGCTTGGTTTGGGTTGATTGCTACAGAAACTATCATCAACCTTCTCGGTCTTCCCATCTTGCCTGCTGTATTTGGCACAGTAGATGTCTAACGTGCGGTAACCCAAACCACACTGGGCACTGCATTCACTCCTGCCAGCAACGTGCCACCTGGACATAAATAATAGAGAGAAACCAAGAGCTTCATTAAATATATATATATACACCTTTTCCAACTAATGGAAGAGCTGAGTTCTTTTCTCCTTCTTATTCAAATACCATGAAAGTTCAAAGCCACAGCCAGTTACTAAAATCCAATCTTAAACCAACATATCCATATATTTTTCATGCCTTCCAATGTATACGGAGGTAATGGAACGATAGTGAGAAGTCCTATCTTTATGAAGATTCTTTCCTGATCAACTCAGTCTGAAATTCAAGCAACCAGAAAGAAAAAAAAAAAGTGGGAATCAACAGAGCAAGAAAAGCAATTTTCTATTTATAAAGTTCGTGAAATTCAGCATTTCATTTGGCTTCTTAGAACAGAGAGCTGCTCTCAAAAAATCTCATCCTAGGAACTCTTCATTAGGCAAGTCCACACTAGAAAGAACTCAATGAACATTCTGTGAATTGATAAAAGAATGATTTCACTGCAATTGTGAATTTCCAGTGTAGTAAGTGCTGTGTACATTATACCTGTGATTAAAGGCTACAAATTCCTTGAAGACATGAGCCATATTCTACAAAACTTCATTACATACTTTAAAAATTAGATGTGAATCTGTCTTTGTCACCTCTGTTCCCTAGTATCCATAAGGAAACTTTCCCGGCACACAGTAGGTACTCAGTATGTACTGATGAGCTATCTGGATCGTGTAATGTGCCAGGAACACGGTTGGTAATAATTACAATTTTTTTAGAAAGCTAATTTGAATAAGAAAGTCTAAATAAATAAACTTGAAATGTATTTTGCTGGTAAGATTTACAAATCCAAAAAAGATCATTTCTTTCTTATTTTAATTGGATTTTATTCTTGATTGTTAATTTGCTATTGCGCAGTAGCTGGGCAGTGTGGCATGGGATTTCTCACTAATGTCTAAAAGTAGGTCAGAGTTGACCACTGGTAAGTAAAATGGGCTGCAAAGGTTTTCCGTTAAAGTGACACATACTGGACAGGTTTTGTTCTAACCAGGGACACATTAAATGAGGGCTTGTAAACCAATGCTTTATCTCCTGTCACAGTGTAGTAGGGGAAACAGTGAGGCAAAAATGCAGACCAATTCATCAGAGACATCTGGAACTTTCATCTACACTTTGATTCTTGGCTACCTTCTCATTACCTTTGTCACCACTTCCTTATGGAAAGGTTATTTTCCATCCAGGAAAAGGGAGGCAGGCACTCTGCCTTCACGAGAAAACACTTTTGCAGCTCCAGCTGCAAAAATCATTCCCCTGATTTTCACACAAACCTCAGAAACTGAGGAGAGATCCTTGAAGAGTCTGTGGGAAGGTCACCATACTGTGCTAGGAACATTTGTCTCAAAATGTTATCATAGGTTTTACATTCCTTTTCTCAACAGGGATCTTAATATCAGTGCCGTGAGGTCATTCAGTTCATTTCATGGGAAATAAAACATAAGTGTATTTAATGACTACATTTTAGAAAAGCATATTCCCATGAGCTCTTAAGTGGAAACTGAGGAGAAATGCATGATTACATCTGTGTGGGGAGATATACAACTTTTGAATTAAACAGGTTTTTATGTTATGGGTTTTCTTAGGGCCTTCAAAGTGTGGAGGGGCATTGCAAAACTCCACACGAGGAAGGTGGTCCTTGGACAGGCCTCTCAAACACACGAGTCTACCCAATTTATAGTAATTCCTTCTCCACTCTCGGTTTTCCACACATACTGGGCCATAATTAGCACAAATCATGATTGTATTAACTGTCAGCTTGACAGAGAAGACAGCACATCTTCTCCAGGCTTGGTTGCTTTATAAACTAATCCTAAACTGCCTTTTTTTCTTTTTACTCTTTAATTCTGTCACTTCTACTAAAAGAAATGGCTACCATTCCTTCCCATCTTTCTTTAGTCCATCAGAGATGCTATTATCATTGAACCCTGTTCTCTAAACTGCTACCCCTATTTGGTGGGTAGAGTTAAAGAATAAAAAAGTTAAATGTTTAAAAAAGGTGACTTTGTCCAAATGGGGAATTTGGAACAGCACTTTAACACAGCTACCATACGAAAACACTTTAAAACTTTACTTTGCCTAGGTACTGTGAAATAATTTTAATGAAAAATCAGAGGATGAGGCACAGGACCAGCAGCTAGGATGAATGTGAGCTCTGACACTAATGAAGAGATCCTGGGTGAGTCACTCCACCTCACTGAGCCTCATCTTCCTCACCTGTGAGTGGGTGAAGATGGAATCCACTTCATAAGGCTCGTTGATGAATCAATGCTATGTGTAGCGTTTAGCATGAATGGAAGAGACTCAAGAAAAGCCTTTCTTATAATGACATTGTTATCATTACCCTTGGGGTGTTCTTCTCCAACTAAGTTTTAAATATCATGCAAACACACATCAACCAATGAGGAGAATCATTTGAGATCTTCTGTGTAATCCGACCGAGCAGTCTCCTGGGCACAGGCTACCTCTTACTACATGAGGTTTGTGAGAGCTATATGAATATTATGTAGGCTTCCAACACAGAAGAAATGTCTGAGTACACCAGATAAGCCAGCACCATCACACTAAATCATGGGTCATACTGGGGTTGGCTCAAAGTGCAAAGTAGTAGTTTCTTGAAGTCACAGCTCAAACATTACCTCCACTCTGAAATTGGGTAAACTTTGAATAGGGTTATTAAAGGATCACTCATTTCTTTCTTTAGTCATATTTCATTCCTCAAAATGCTTCATACAAACTTGCCTCCTTTGCCATCATAAAAGCAGACTTAGTGCCATAGGAAGAAATCCTATAGTATCTGCAATTGTTCTATGAGACTCCACCAGTCCAGGTCAGATTCAGACAATGGAGAAGTAACACAAATGTAAGGGGTCTGAATAAAGCAGGACACAGAAGCAGGGCGGAAAACTGGTGGGGATTAGTTCTTTTTACACAGGAAGAAAAGCTTCCCAAAATGGGATCCATGACTACCACTCATCTTTATGACTGAATTAAGAATGAAAACAACTTCCTCTATGGAAGTGTAATGGGTGTAAGCCCATTGTCTCTAGAGAGGAAAAACCACCTTTAAACCTCTACCACTAAACTAGCTCGCTGTGTACCCTTGAGCAATTCAAGAAACTTCTATTAGCCTTCATTTTCCTTATTTATAAAACAGTGGTAATATCTGTATTACAGTGGTGTTTGAGAAATTTACAGGCTATCCATTATACTAATAGGATAATAGAAGATAATATAAAAATGATCCTATTAATTCAGGAATATTAATAGTATAACATACAGCATTAAAAGCAATTCTTAGGAAATGGTGGATTATTAGGATTATTTTCAGTGTGCTAACTGGATATAACATGAATCTGAAAATGCAACCATTCTCAATTTATTAAGGTCATATCTCAAGAAAGCTAGCCACAAATGCAGTTTTGTCCACCGAACTTCAGTGATTGATTCACTTCAGCAATTACTTAGCTAATTAGTTTTTCTGAAAGGGTCTTTATTTCTAGTTTAACTTAACTACTGGCTGAAGCAAATGGGCTTATATGGACACTAGGTAAAAGAAAAAACTGCTCGGTGTTAGTGTCAATGTCTACCCTTACTATCTTCTTGTTTTATAATGACCTTTGGCCACTGTCAGTAACAATGGGTAGAGATGAAGTGTGACAGTGTGGAATGATCTTGGATTGAAACTCAGAGCCTCAGGTGAGGACTGGCAGAGCTATGGCACCTGTATTCTGCTGTTATGACAGACATTACTAATGGATCACACCACTATAATCTGTACCCTGGAACTCATAATCTGTGATGTAGCCAACATGACTTGAGAGGATTCAGCATACCAATCTAGAATCTTCAAAATGCTTAAGTATTTACTTTGCTACTTATGAGTGCAAAGATCTTTGCACATTCCCCCACTACACTTGCGAAAGGCAGATAAAGTAGCTCTCACCTTACCTGGCAATACCTGGCATGTAGAGTACACATGCAATCTTCTGGCTATTAAATACCTGACCATGGCACAGTTGATCTTGCAGGCAAATGGAAATACTTTAGAATTCCTCACCCACTCAATATTTCCTGCATGGGATTCTATGTTTTTCTTAAATACAGAACTGCATGAATATCTAGCTATTCATATAAGGATTTTCTTCTTGTTTCTTCTATGCCTCTATCTCAGTGCACTGCAACTTTTATGTGCTTAAGAGTCTTACTGGGTGTTTAGCCCTATCCTCTGGGAATATAGAAACCACTCTGAGTATGTAGAGAGATAAGGTTCCCCCTTTGCTGTAGACTTTCAAACAAAGCTTTTGCATAAGACTTGACTCAGTTGGAAGGACCACATCTACTCAGTGACTTCTGAGGATCAGATGAAAATGTTTTCTGGCAAATAACACACTCTGTTAACTATTTTTAATTCTTAGGGGAACAAGAAATCTGGAGGCATATGTCTTGGCTAAAGGGTACCAGAAAGATAGAGAACTGGCTGAAAGTTGTTTCATAGAAACACAGCAAGGGAATACAAAGATCAGCTCTGCTCCTTCTGAGCCACACATGAAGACTTCCCATAAGATCCTCCCATCTCAGAAGTAAAGACCAGAGAAAAACAGAGGCCCCACCTCAAGTCACAGTCTGTGCCACAGGCCTCGGTGACAGGTCCTGGCTGGGGCAACCGATCACATCTTTGATCAGAAACAGTAAGCTGATCAGATTCTCTGGTGCAAACAAGTTTTCGTCTTCGCTCCCCTAAGCAGAGAGAAAGAAACAATTATGCAGAGAAAATAACCTAGTCCATAAATTATTTAGACCTAAGGATTTCAAATGTTTTCTATAAAAGGCTAGATAATAAATATTTTCAGTTTTGTTGGCCATATGATATCTGTCACACTTCTTATATAGGGCAAAAGCAGCTACTCACAGATAATGCATAAACAAATTAGTGTGACTGTGTTCCAATAAAACTTTATTGATAAAAGAAGGTGGTGGGCTGGATTTCACCCTATGGCTGTAATTTGATGACCCTAATTTAATAAAAGGAAACAAAATAAATAACCTATAATGTAAATATTGAAAGCATGTCTCTGGAAAATTAAAGCAGCAGAGTTGATTTTGCTTGGTTTACACATGTGTGCAAAACTCTTAGGAGGAAGAAACCAAATGTAACCTGGATCCCTTCAAAAGTTAAACTTGCCAGTCCTAAGGAGATCCCAAGAAGGGAAATGAGAGATTGCCTATAGATAGAAAGGTTTAGCAGATTGCATACGTGTAGCTGTTAGTAAGAAAAAGAAAAAGAGCTGGGTGCTGGTGTCTCACGCCTGTAATCCTAGCTACTCAGGAGGCAGAGATCAGAAGGATTGCAGTTCAAAGCCAGCCCAGGCAAATAGTTTACGAGACCCTATCTCCAAAACACTCATCACAAAAAAGGGCTAGTGGAGTGTCTCGAGGTATAGGTCCTGAGTTCAAACACCAGTACCATAAAAAAAAAAATAAAAAAAAAAAGATTAAAACAACTCCTAAAATCCCCCAAACTGGAACTCTAAGCAGATACCTTGGCAGGGTTTGCTGCATGGCTGCCAGGGCCCGTGACTGTTCCAGTAAAATTGCTGAGGTTTGTCATCTATTGGAATATTGAATGAATATCGCACATCAGGGTTGTATAACTTTCCCACCGACAAAACCTGCAATGTGTGGACAGAGAGATGTTTGAGGGACTGTGATCTCAAATGAAGGAAAAGGGTGGTGGGACTGTGGTGTTTTTTACCTGAAGCAAAAGTTCTTGTTCTATGCGGTCTGTGGAGTTAATTCTTTCCACAACATTGTCAGATCCGCTGTATTCAATCACAGCATTCCCAACACGGATTTCCCTTTTGGACATGGTGACAACAAAGTCTCCGTTTAGCAAGAATTCGCCTTTACTGCTTGATAAAGCTGCAGATGAGAAAAGAGAATGTGCTGATCTATTGTTAATGACTCACTGCGTGGAATATGAAGGAACACTTTGATAGGCTCAGGGGGAAAAGATGGGAGTCTTTTGAGCCAGGCAGGCATGGCTTGCCACTTGTTGGCTGTGTGGCTTTGGGAAATCACATTCCCTTCCTGTCTCCATTTCTTTCTCTCTAACATGGAGAGAAAATCACCTACCCTTTTCGGTACCTGCTGAGTGAAATAAAACACAGGGATTCTACTTGGTATGGGATTTGTTTTGTAAGTCTCACAGTTACCAGTTTACAAATGGAGGCAAAAGTATTATGATTTGAAAGCATATACTAAGAAACTGAATACTTATACATGTGATTCCCATATATATTATAATTAGTTGAGCCTATCAAGCCATTGTTAAGTTTTCTTTCTGTGAATCTGAAAATACATGCTCACTGCAATGCTCACATGACACTTTTCCAGTGAGGCCCACTGTGGTAGACAATCTGAAACAGCTCCCCATGATCCTTCTCTCGAGACATTCACACTCTATGTTATTCCCACCCATACTGAATAGAGGATATTGAAGAAATGATGGACAGTGACTTCCAAGACCAGCTCAAAAGCATGGTGGCTCTGTCTTGTTCTTCTTTGAATCTGGCTTTGGGAGAGGTCAGGTTGGGAGGATGCCCATGTGGAGGTCCTAAGCAAATATCAGTGAAGAACTGGGCCCTTCTGCCAACAGCCTCTGCATGAAGCATCTGGAGGTGGATCCTCCAGCCCCAGTCGAGCCTTCAAATAACACCATAGCCCTAATTGCAAATCATGACTACAAACTCATGACAGACCTCAAGCCACAAACACCCAGCTATACTGTTCCCAAACTCCTGACATGCGAAACTGGGATACAGTATATATTTGTTGTCTAAGACATCTTGATATGTCCTTTTTATTCTCCCCCACAGTTTTGGGGATTGAACTCAGGGCCTCACACTTGGTAGGCAAGTGTTTTACCAGTTGAGCCACACACCCAGTCCTTTTGCTTTTTGTTAGTTTGTCTTTTTCTGATAGGATCTTGTACTTTTGCCCAGGCCAGCTTTACATAACAATACTCCTACCTCTGCCTCTTGAATAGGTAGGATTACAGGTGTGTGCCACCAGGCCTGGCTCTTACCATGTCTTAAACTAACTTGTTACACAGTAAAAGCTTAATACATGTACCCAAACCATTCTTTTTAAAACTACAAATGTCCCCCACTGCCAGTACAGGTTATGTAGCTCTACCTCTTCCCACCTTAATTTTTTTCACAGCACTTTGTTTATGTAAGCCCCAGGAGGGCAAGGATATCAGTACTTCTTTCTTCACTACTACATCTCAGATTCTTAAAAAGCACATTGAAGGTGCTCAATTAACACTTCTTCTTTCCCTTTGTTTTTTTTTTTTTTGAGAATGAGACTACTCTAAATTTATAAACAATGAACAAATCAATGCAGCTGAAAAGTAGATATAGGGAAATGGCTTGAATCAAGTGTCAAAACACTTGCCAGATGAAGATCTGAAAGAGTTAGATCAATTATGGAATCTAAAATAGCAAAACCCATAGAATCAGAGAACTGAACAGTGGTTGCCAGGGGCTGGGAGTAGGGACGTGCAGACATTGTCAGATGTGTAAAGTTTCAGTCACGCAAGATGAGTAAAGCCCTGGATAGTTAGTGCACAGCACAGGGACTGTTTGCTACGAGGGCAGATTTAAATTTGCTCATCACACACACACAGACACAGACACACACAGACACACACAAACACACAGACACATAGAGACACACACATACACACACACAGACACACACACACACACACACACATACACACAAGAGGAACATAAAAAGTGGTAACTATGTAGAAAGATGGTAAGTCAATTATCCTGGGTTTCGTGACCATTTCACAATGTATATAAAAAAATTAGTGGCTGCACCTTAAATAACATAATTTTTATTTGTCAAATACACCTCACTAAAATTTCTAAAATAGGAAAGAAAACTGAGAAGGAAGATGAGACATTTGCTTCTGAAGGAATAATTTACTTTTCAAAGAGCCAAAGGAGACTATCGGGAAATCTTTATTAATAAAACCCAGAAAGTTTTTCTGCTATTTGTTTCTTGTTTTTATGAGACAGGGTCTCTCAATGTAGCCCTGTCCCTAGAAAATTTTTCTGAAATGACTCCTTTTTCAGATTTTATTATTAAATTCAAACTTTGAGTGAAGAAGTACTACTTCATTATCATATTGCCTAACTGGACAACTTACACAGAAATACTTATTGATTGTTTTATTTTCAATTCTAAAAACCTTGGCATGATCAAAATTAAAATATAGTTTTTATGGGCTGAGATGTAGCTCAGTGGCAGAGCGCTTACCTAGCATGCTCAAAGCTTTGGGTTTCATCCCCAGCACCACAAGAAAACAAAAGCATAATTTTGTTGAATATAAAATTACAACAAATTTGAGCCAGGCATAGTGGCTTGTGCCTGCAATCCCAGTTGCTTAGAGGCAGAGGTAAGAAGATCTCAAGTTGAGGCAAGCTCAGGCAAAAGTTAGCATGTGACCCTATCTGAAAAAACATACTTAAAAAAAAAAAAAGTAAAGGACTGGGGACATGCCTTCAATCTCCAGTACTACAAAAATATCAAATAAATTTATTTTCATACTTTTACAGTAAAATCCCAACCACACCTTTTCCCTCTAGCACTTATCACGAACTTTGGGTCTAATTTAAGTAAGCCAGACTTCAGTATCTATGGGCTCCATGTCTATGTGTTCAACCATTTCTGTGCCATTCAGCCTGGTAGACCATGATGCCTGCATATGCTCTGCATCCTTGTCACACTTCTGTGAGGCTGAGTCTGCTATAGATGCCAGAATGAGAGAAAAGCGTGACTTAGAGATGATTAAATTGATTTCCCAAGGCCAGGTGGCTTCTAGGTCCAGAGCTTGCTAATCACTGCAATTTTCCAAGAAGCCAGTCAGTGGATGCTTTCTAAGTGAGATTCTTTCATTTACATACAAATAGAAATCAGTAAGTTTGGGTTGCAGATTTAAGAAATTTAAATAATTTTACACAAGCCTTTTAGTTTAAAAATGCATAAAAAGTAACAAGCACTTAAAGATTCTCTTTTGCAAACCCAAGAAACATCCCCCCCTTAGTAGGTGGCTCAATAGATGTTGTTAAAAGGACGAGTGAGGGATTGAACCTGACATTCATGACAAGGAGAATACCGGGCTTCCAGCCAGATGACTGTTCCCAGCTGGTGTAAACCTCCTACAACCTCGTCTCGCCTGCAGCTCCTGCAGCGCCAGACCCACCAGCCATGCGAGAGCAGCAGTTTCAATGGGTCACTGACTGGGGACGAGGTTGTTTCCGTGTCACCTCAGGCATCCCAAGGCTGCTCCCTCAAGCGGGTCACTTACTGCATGCTCCTTAACCTAATTAATGGTGAACAGGGAATGAATCAGGAGATCAAATGATGTAAGTCTCCTCTATGATTTGCTCTGGTTAATGGTTTGTCCCCAGATATCTGTAAAGTCAGAGATGAAAGGAAATCCTTGCTTTATCTTGCACTGAATCGATTCCTGACTTCCCACTGCCACAATTCATCAAGGGCTAAGTGTCTTGGAGACAAGTAAGTATCACAGAAATGGCTACTTTTTCTTCTAAAGAGATAGGAACATGGCGGCCATAGAACTACTTGGCTTTAACCCAACAGGAGAGGTCTCCATGACAGGACAACTTTCACAGGGAGACTTTCTGCTTAGGTACCTTATGAAACAAATAGTTTCCTGAAAACAAGAGCTTCCTGCTCAACCTCCCACTAATGAGATTACAGGCGCTAATTTCCTGGGTTGCTTTTCTTGTCATGGCACCCATCAGAACTGGGTTACTATAAAGGCGCTCTCTCCTGGAAACTGCTCCCTCATCAAAACACATAGAAAGAGTAAGGCTTGACTGACTTTTATACAACCACGGGGGATAAGATGATGGTTGCTTAGCAACAGAAGAGCAGTGATTGGACTCACAAGTGCGTGTGCTCTGTAAAGTCCCCTCAGTGATTTGTTGCACCTTGCTCCAAGCCAAGAGATGACATCAGATGCTTCCTAACTTCTTAAGGGACCACAGTGAGGTCAGGAGCTCTGAAGTCTCAACTTTCACACTCAGTGGACTGTGACTTACAATCAGTGCTCGAACACTTTCATTTGCTTCCAGAGAGACTTGCAAATGACGTTCCCATAATATTACATTAATGAGCCACGAGTGGCACCGCCTGCTTGCCCTTGATGACAAATCTTCTTTAATTTTGTTTTCATTCTTTACAAGGAAATTAAGAAATCACCAATGAAGAATAAGAAGCTATCAGGAGGCTCTCTCCAAATTTGGGTGACCAACATATGGTGATTAAATTGAACTGAAGTGAGTTCACTATTTGGACAGAGATTATTTTCCCAAGAAGAAGAAGAATGGAAGAGAATCCTGCCTTTTGAGGAGAAGAAAGGATCAACTCAATGTAGCTTTCAGTTCTCAAGAAATTAATTTATAAAGGAGGCTGCAAACAATGCTATTTGATTTAATTAAGAAGTAGTTAGGACATACACCCAGCAACTCAAATTAATAACCAAGAACATGGAGAAGTGCTTAACCCATTTGCAGTAGTGGAAGTAGAGGTGTGGGACTCCCCCCCAAAAAAAATAATTTGAAAATGTTCCATAAGAACTTTGCTAATTGTCTCATCATTACAATTCCTTTTTGTGTGCTGTTGGAGATAGAACCCAAGGCCTTGTGCATACTGAACGATGGTTTACCACTGAGTTGCATCCGGAGCCCTGGTAATTTTCTTAGAAAGTTGCCACTCAGTTGGACCTTTAGGGTGCAAAAAGATGATGCAGCCTTCAAGTAATTAATTACAAGTAAGAATCTGCAGCCTTTGAAAGAAGGGATGAATCTGTGTCTCCAAGGTAACTCTATTCCCCCCTTCATGAAGTACACAGTAGGTACTCAGCAAAGATAGAACATGCAATGGATGCTTAACAATTCAGCAAATGTTTACTCAGCAGCTATCCTGTGCAGGCTTTGCATGAGGAGCTGAAGATGTAGAGATATGGCCCCAGCTTTAAAATTCAAGGGATCATGGATGAAAAAGGAAATCTTCCCATCTCTGTTGACAACAACTTCATCCTTTCTATTGCTTAGTTCACAACCTTGGAGTTTCTGACTCTCCTTTTGACTCTAAGACAACTTTGATCCATCTTTTCTTTTTTTCCCACACACCATGTTAATTCATCAACAAATCATGATGAATTGACTCAAACAGAATCCAGAATCTGACCACCTCCATGTTCTCTCTTGGGACCAAACATCAGCAGTCTGTCTGTCTGTCTCTCACTATTTATTTATTTGTGGTACTGGAATTTGAACACACGCTTGCTAGGCAGGTAGGTGCTTTATCACTTGGCCACACTCCAGCCACTTTTGATTTAGTTATTTTTCAGATAGAGTCTCGTACTTTTGCTCAGAACCGGTCTTGGACTGTGCTCCTCCTTACCTTTGCCTCCCACATAGCTAGGATCACAAATGTGTCACAGTGCCTGACCCTCTTGGATTTGTGACATAACATCTTAGCCAGTGGGCTGCTCTACGCTACCCATCTATGTTCAATATAGCAATCAGAGTGCTCTTTCGCAAACATAAATATGGTTATATCCAACATCAGTAGTGTCCCATGTCTCTCAGACTTCATGCTGAAGTCTTTACAAGGGTTTCTGTTCTACATGATCTCGTACCGTTATCTGTTTAACCCCACCTAAGACTCTCCTACATGTCCATTCAGCAACAACCACATTGGCCTCCCTTGGCTCTTCACATAATCCACAGACTCCTACTTCAAAGACTTTGCACAGGCTATTCCCTCTGCTTGAGATGCTCTTCCCCAAGACAACCTATCCTTCTCTCCACTTCAAACATTTTAGCTCCTTTGTCCCCACTCATTCTTGCTGTTCCAATTTCCCTTTCCTTCTAATAGTATAGAGTTTATTTATTCCATTATTGTTATTGTCTATCTCCTCCCATGAAAAAGTAGGCTCCAAGAAGAAAGGGATTTTTTAAATTAATTTTTGGTCTGTTTTGTTTATTGTACCGAAAATAATGCTGGTGAATATTAAATAAGTGAATGAATGAATGAATGCTGATACACAGCAGAAAATGCTACAACAGAGTCATGCATAAATAAGCATGAATAGTGTGCTTGGCTAAAGGATCACTGTCTATGGATGCACAAATTCCTGCAGACATTTCAAAATACAGATGTAAGTTCTAATCTGATTCAACAAATACTCATTAACTAGCTCAGCATGTCCAAATGTTTGGATTAAGTTTCTATAGAGGATGTATTTGGATGGATAAATAGAGTTCCTGCCTGGATATTATAAGAGAGAAAGTACATTAATTTCTCTCAAAAATTGACTGCCCAGCAAGATGTCTAGATCCGACAGATCCAAGTGCAAGCCATGATTAGGTTTCATAGCCAGGCACAGCCTGGTTGTGCAAAGTGATCTGTAGAATCATTTTTAGTCATTCCACTATTCCTCCTGTCCTTTTTTTTAAAGGGCAGGTGGGCAAATTCCATAATCCCTTAGGGTAGTTTAAAGAATAAATTCAAGGGGAACTGGAATGGGCAAGCCTGTGGTGTATTGTGGTTTAAATGAAAGGAGTAGATACAAATGAATTATAGGATGAAATACAAGGAATAAATATGAATTAATTCTGACAGGAGGAAGAATCTGTAAAGAAACATTCTTGTAATGAGTTGAGAAAAATGTGCCATTATAGAATCTTTTGGATGGATCAGCCATGATAAAATATTGAAAAGGCCCATCAGGGATCTGCTACTGGTTAGAGTTGATAACATTAAAATTAAGTCAGATAATGTCACTAACAAAGCATTTGCTAGTCAGTCACCCACAGGATAGATTTTTTTAAGACTCAGTGAGACCCATGAATTTATGCTAAATTTAGAGGGTGGTATTTTAAAAATTTGACTTGGAAGCCTTTTTATTTTGTAAAATCCAGAGAAAATCCCTTGAAATTAAATAGTGCAATTCCATAACCCTTGAATCAATACTCTGAGTATATATGTGTGAGAGTGAAATACAATGATGAATTTTAAGATCAACTTCTTTTCTGAAAAGAAGTTTGCCCTGCACAGAAGAGGAAAGAAAGTAATACATGCCAGTTGTTTCAGAAAGAACAGCAGAATTCCTGCAAAGGCAGGTGCATGGCATCTTACCTAAATAGTTGTCATCCTCTGATTTCCCCGAGAAGCTGTGCTGCCGCACATCGATACTGGTAGCACCAGCTGGAATTCGGACCACAGTATTGTAACCTGAAAAAGAATTTAGCAGAAACTCAGCATTTCCCATAATGGTTCACTTTCTCTAAGAACAGAATGAAAAGTGTACAATGAAAAAACAATTCTTTTAGGTGCCTTATAGCCAGATGGATAATGTTCATGGTTAAACATAAATGATTTTACGCTTGGCATTAATACTTGTATGCATTGCATGTAGTTAACGATTTTGAAAGCTTTCCTTCTCACAGTTCTTAGGAGCAGATTCTTACCATAATGTACTGTATTAAATGTTCCCGCCACTGTTTTGCAAGAAGAATTATCACCACCGCAAACCCCACATTTATCTCTCCGAGCTTTTGAGTTTAAAACATGATCGCATCCAGCTTGCTTTGAAAAAGAAAACATTTAAAATAAATGGTAAGTAAGAAAGAGATAACAAAATGGCAAGTAATGCATTTCTTTCAATGATGTGGATCCAAAATGTCAAGAAAGCCATGCTCCTTTAAACTTGCAAAGGCTGAAAAGTCAAATTGTCTACAGTTTGCTATTTCAAATGCAGTCCTTGGACCAACACCCATCACATCTTGATGCTGTTAGGAATGGAAAAATCTCAAATATACAGGAATCAGAGTTGGCATTTTTATAAGGCTTCCCAGTGCTTCATGTGCAGATTCAAGTTTGAGGCACACTGGTCTTCGAATAAGCAGTGTAAATGAGCAAAACTGCTCAGGAATGAAGGAACAGACAGGGGGCCGTTGTAAGGGCTGTATCTAATTAAAGACCTCATGCCCATCGTCAGGGAGAAGCCACTGACCACTCCAGGCTACTGCTGACATTTCCAACTGGAGCTCAGTGTTGACATTTTCCAATTTTTCAAGAGAGGTTGGAAAATTTGATTTGATGTGAAATCTTGTGTGTTCAAATATTGTCTCCACATGCAGGGCAAAGAGTGACTCCAGAACTCTCTCACGTATGAATATGATATAGCAGTATAGACTGAGCAGTAAAGAGTACACTGACAGCAGGAAGGCCAGGAGAAGACAGCCCACATTCCTGTCCCTTTGGTTCCTCTGTGTGAACTCATCCTTGAGGAGAAACTCAGCGTGTTGTGATGTAGTGGACCAATGAGGGAACTCACATGACAATGCAAGCTGGAAAGGGGATGAAGTTCTTGGGGTTGCTCCTTCAGCCAAATTGGACTGATAAGGAACCCCAACTGGCCTTTGGACAACAGGCAAGGAACAAATATGCCATCTCAGAGCCCAGCTGGATCAGCAATGGTTTCTGATAGATATGAATAGCAAAATGGGATCAGGTCCTGGAGAAATCATTGCTGTGAGGCACGTCTCAGGTGAAAGCAATGGTAGTTCAAATCATAAAGAGAAATCTGAGTTAGGTCAGCTCTTCCTCCTGGCATCTTTCTGGAAAGCTTGCTTTCAGGAAGTATTTGGATTTAACATTAAGCCCTCAGGTTATAGAAAAGGGATGTGTGTGCAAAGTATTGTAATAAATTTTCAAGGGGAGGATTTATGCAGACTCACAGAGACTGAAGATGTCAAGAAAAATACAAACCAGTGGTTTCTCAAACTTTGGTAGAAGATATATCAGAATGTGCGATGCATGGATGCTGATGCTACCATTAATCCAGGGACCACACTTTGAGAACCACTAGTTGGAAGAGAACACACAGATAGTAGCAGCTGCTGTTCCATCTAAGGAAGCCACAAATCACAGCTTGGCAACAGGACAGTACAGGAAAGAAAATATCATCTGGGACTTACCCGACAAAGGCCTTGGACACAGATATCATTTGTGTCCTGGCCACAAGGAGTCCCATCCACCACTCTGTCTCGGAGCTGATAGTAGGCTGTGTTCCCTGCTACTCTGCAGAACAACTTGCATCGGTCCTTCATCAAAACTAGAGATGAGAAACATGACACAATGTGGCTTTCAGGCCTGGACCCAGTGCCAGCCTGCCCACCCGACACCTGCCTGGACGCACTTACTTCCGCTGTACTTAGGGACCCAGCGCACGTTGGCATGCAGACCGTTGATGTTAAAATGCTTCCCGTCAAAGTGAGCACACTGCTCATCTCGGAAGTCTCGCTTCTGCTTCATACAGGGCTCCGTGTTGCAGGATTTAAACTTCATTCTACGCCCTACACAGTATTTGCCACCATTTTTTGGCCTAAGAAAATGTAAACACACACACACACACACACACATACACACACACACACTGTATTATCAAGTACTTCTCCACGTATCACTCATTTATGTCATGACTTCCCATTTTCCAGGGAAGAAAATTTGATGAAGCATATGAGGGGGGGTAGGGAGGGAGGGGAAGGGTGGGGATGATTAGGAAGGGCAAGGGCTCCTGATTCTGGTTTCGCATTCTATCCTTTATGAAGGGATTTGCCTTCAATACCATTCAACTTGGGTGAGTCTTTCAACCTTTGTAAGCCTCAGCCTCAGTGCCTACATCTGTAAAATGGGATGCTGCCATGACGGAAGGCTGCCTAGAGGATCAAATGCCAGGATATATAGATGCCCAAAATATGAACCCTGAATCCATAAGGCTAGTTTTTGTCTTCTTCCTCCCCAACATTTACAGTCTTTCAATTTTAAAAACATTGTTTCCCTGGTTACTGTGCAAGCTACCTGAGCTCCCTTCTTCATATCCAAAACAGACATAACCCTGAGCCTTGCAAGTCTTGCTGTGGATGGGAGTACCTTATCACATGGTGATAAGCATCTGCTTATCAGTAGCCGGCTTGCTGCCTGTCCACACCTTGATATACTCAGAGGAGACCATGGAAGCACACGCCCTTCCTCCTCCACTCACTCTGTCCCTCCCCAACCCCTCTCCTGACAACCATTGTTTTGGTTTGTTTGTTTCACAAATAAAACGGAATAAAGGGCACGTGTCCATATTTAATAGGAGAAGGGGAGACAGCACTCTGCGTTCATTACCGTTGTGGGACCAGAGCGTGGATTGCGCCTCGTGAAGCACCACAGTGTAAATTTACTCCTGGCAAGCAACCCTTCCATGTATTTTCCAGATGTGACCTGACCGTAGCTTATACAACACATCCGCCAACAGCCAGTGGCTGGCCAAAGTCACCATGGAACTGGGAGACATTGCAGGATCCTAGGATGTCAAAGACTCAGCCCCTGGGGCGGGGACCACCCGTACTACACAACTACCCAGCATACGCCTGAACCTGGGAGAAAAACAATTCCCCTTTTTTTCTTTATAATGACTCCTTAGAGTAATCCTAACTATAAGAAGAGATTTTTCTTTTAATTTTCAAACAGAGATTTTAGGGAAAGGGAAGTATGGCCACAACCATAAAATAGGGAATGAGAAGCAGAGAGGTAGAGTTGACTCTGGGTTCCAGTCCTGCCCTGTTCTCACAGCTTTATACTAAGTTCTTAATTTCTCTGAACTTCAATTTCTTCTTCTTTAAAATGAGTGCACACGTAGCAGATGTGGGACAATGTTACTATGTGATATTGTATGTCAATGTACCACCCAATTGAATCTGTTATGGTTCGACAGATGGTGTGATCACAACTCTGAACATGGCAAAGCGATGCTAAATGCTCCTGTAAGGGGCTCAGGTCTCAGGACGGGCCACCGGGGAGGCTTGTCCTCATACAGCTATACATGTGCTCCTTAATTAAAGAAGGTAAGAACATGGGCTTTGTAGTTATAAGCTGGGCAGCTCTGTAAGCTACCTGGCTCTCTAAGCTTCCTACCTCACAAGCAAAACAGACATGAGGCTGAGCCTTGCAAGGGCTGCTGTGGATTGGAGGAGTTCATCACAGAATCTGATCAGTATCTGCATTGTGAATCCTGAAGAAGACTGCTACTAGGAAAGCAAAATGGCACAGAACAGCAGTGTCTGCGTCCAATTCCTCTCCATTAAATACAATTAAGCCCATATGGTTTGTATCAGCTTTGCACACTCGACTCACCAGAACTCTTTCATTTCTTGCCCAAGAGTAGGGTAGACAAAGTTCTTTTATACCAAATGACAGAAAGTTCAGAGAAGTATTTGACTAAGGTCACCCAGCTAATGTAAGAGCAGGGTCAGAATCAGAACCCAAGTCTTCCAGGTTCTGGCTCTGTGCTCTTTCTGCTATGTTATCCAAGAGCTATGGTTCAATGTCTTGTCTTTTTCTTTTGTGGTTTCTTTCCCAAACCACATTGAGAGATGTCATTTGTATCAAGACGCTCAAGTCTCATGCATAAAATATCAAAGACACGTATGATCACGCCCATACACCGGCTCAGGTGAAACTTTGTTTAAATGTACCACAAGGAAGGCGTCCTTCAATTTTTCCTCAGGTGGAAATCATATTTATGAATCTCTTTAAATGTTCACCTGGCTATGTTGGATGGATCATTTATTTATTTTCCAAAAGCATGTCCTATTTCCTTCCACTTGAAAATAAAAAATGTTTAAGTTGGTTTGTTTTGGTTCTCTTCTATAACAAGTCTTAGCTGATTCCTGAAAATTATCAAATACAGTAGATACTCAGGCTGCAAAGAGTTAACCATTGTAGGTGGCTTTCCCTCAGATGTTAACATTGTCCATCTTTGCTTGCTTTGACCATGGGAAAATGGGAAGTTAGCATTCTGAGATTTGTTTCTATAAGCAACATCTTTAATTAAAAACTACATACAGAAGGTAATACTGCTGAGTGTTATAAACATGGACTCTGGGAACAAAGGTTAGAATCCCAGCCCTGCCACTTGGTGCACCCTCAGGAGACAGCCTTCATCTCACTAAGCCTAGCTTCCTCATCTGTAACAAGGGATGATACCAACATCCACTGCCTAGGACTGCAGGGAGGGTTAACCTGGTTAGTACATTCAAAGCCCTTCAAACAAGGCCTGGCACACACTACGGTTTGGCTCTCTATAACACCCTCTGAGCCAAATATGTCCTGCTATTTTTTTTATGGCCCCTGGACTAAGAATGATTTTTATATTTTAAAGTAATTGAACAAATTTTAAAAGGAAGACTATCACACAGCCCATGAGGAGTATATGAAATTCGAATTGCAGTGATCATAAGTGAAGCTTCACTGGAGCACAGCTAAACTCACAGTGTCCACGTAAGTTTCTTACTCTGTCAGTAAGGTTGAGCAGTTATATAGGGACCATGTAACCTGCAAAACCCCAAAATACTGACTCTCTGATTCTTTACAGAAAAAGTTTGTTGATTCCTGAGCTATTCTATTCAGCCACGCTCCATTTCCTGTCTCTGTGTACAGCCATCCTGAAGGTAGGTAGGAGCACTCTTGTCTTGTAGCCAAGGGCACTGGGTTCAAGACTGCTCAGGGACCCAGAACCTGGGACACCTAGGCTGAGAGGCCCATCCAGACTTCCTGACCCTGAGCTCAGGGCGTGACCTCTCCTCTAGGCTGTGTCTCTTTAGTCAGTCCTCTTTCTGTATAAAACTTGGCTTGTGACTTCATGTGCTGCTTTTTCTGTAAAGGCAGATGATAATTTCTTCCTTGATTATATATATGACTTTAATGAATGTAAATGTGCCCTTTTGAACTGCACGACATTTTTTCTTTCCTAGAAAATGTGGTTTCTGCCTGATTTACATGTACTTAGTCAACTGAATTTACCTTTTGGCATGGGAAAAAATTAATCTCATAATTTAATAATTTAGCTGGATAGGAATATTTTTCCCTGTAGGCACATATGGAAAATTATAGGAAATTCAGCTTTAAAAAATAATATTAACCACATTTTCCAACTAATGGGATCCTTGAAAGATACTGCATGCCAAGTAGAGATGGAAAGGATTTCTGGAAGTTGCAAGATTAATTACTATTATGTACAGCCAACTTGGATCTTTGAGCAATATTACACAACCAGGCATGTTAGCACACAAAGGAAAATTGGGCTGATATGTGGTCAAAATCAGAAGGAAGATTTGCCAAGACCATCACAGGTATCTTCTACTCTCATGGAAAACTAAATTTTAGCCTGCAAATGGATTTGAACAGAAATATCAACTTCTAAGTTTATTTATAATGAACTAGAAGAGCTGGTGGAGTGGCTTGTGTAGTGGAGTCTGCCTAGCGAGTGTGAGGCCTTGAGTTCAAACCCCAGTAACCCCCGTCCCCACCGATATAATCCAATACAATGAGTTAGGGAAGGCAGGTTTAAGTGAACACGGAAATGCATGATGATCTAAAGGTAGCCCCAGCAGGTAAGTGTGGTTCCTATGATTGGAGGTTTATAAGAGCAATCTGAGGCCAAGTGGAGGGAATGCTGGAAAAGCTATGCAAAGATGTGACGGTAAGTTTTATCAACTATCTTTAATAATCCTTCCAAATGGGGGGATTGATGGGGCAGGACATCTTTGCTCTTTTAGTAGAAAGTGGCTCATTTACAGTAACCAATTCTCAACATTTGAAAAAACTTCATTCATAAGGAGTGCCTTAGAAAAAAGATACATTTGCTGCATCTCTACAGCCAAAAATGATTTTTTTGGATGAAATAGACATATGTTTTAAATATTCTTTTAAAGTAAGATTTCATAAGCAGTTGCTATGGTGAGAGGCTCCATGGGAAATATCTAGTTCAGAATCTTTTCTTTCTCTCAAATCAATGTTTATTGCTATTCTAAAATTTTACCTACCTCCTAACTTAAAAGCAAAGGAGTAGCACTAGAAAAGGGAAATTATCTGTCTTTCTCAATAAGTTGGTGTGTTTATCTATTTTGAAGATTGTAACAATTCTGTAAGTGGCTTTGTTCCATCCACCAGGAAGCTCGGAGAAAATGTTGACAAGTTATTAAGAACAGAACTCAATGGCCAGGTAATGCATCTTCGACTTCCAATGTTTAGTCTTGTTTTGGTTCTCCAACTTGTTTCTGGAGATCCCTGATTTCACTTTTACTACCACATGTTCCTTATAGATCAGGAGACCATGTAATTAATTGCCCAATCCAGGATATTTTGAGAATGAAAATGAGAGCTATTAATAACATTTCTTGGGGAACAGGCATAAACTGGGACTTCCCTGGTAAACAGGGCATACCATCATCTCATCTGAAAGCCTTGGATCAAAACTGAGATAAAAAATTAAGGCGAGCATTTCAAGACAAAATACTAGAGCCCCAGCTGTAGTATCATTTTAGACCACAGTATCACAGTTCAGACCAAAAAACCGGGGGGGGGGGG